CCAGGGTGGCCAAAGGGACTCCCAGATAGTAACCCAGCATGGAATTGGGAAAATGAACATCAGACCCCAATCTTATCTAAAGGAATATTGACAACTGATTGCTGCTAGATGAGGAACAGCTGATCTTCCTAAAACAAAGACCTCTAGATAGGCTGAGTAGATTCACCAAATGGACAAGTAGTGGGGAATGGCTGGGGGTGCCGAATCCAGGTCTTTTACAAGAGCAGTCAGTGCTCTAAACTGCTGATCCATCTCTCCAACCCCTTGTTTTTGAATTCTGAACTAGGAACTTCACTGAGGGAAAAAGAAGGTGATTTCTTGCTTTCAGTCATTATGGAAAACTTCTTCAGATGAGGCTCAGACCTAGCACTTCCAACCTCCCAATGTCCTGTAGCTTAAACATTGCAGAGGTCTGCTTTGCAGCAGACCATCTTTGGTCAAGAATGCCAATTAAAGTCTAGGAGGAGATAAGGCAGGCAATGGCCAGAAACCAAGGGCTTTCAACCTTCTACGAGCCTAAATTTGACCATTATCAGATTCTATTAGAGGTAGCATATCATAACAAAGCACAAAGGAATGTGTAAAAGTATCTTTCATACTTAAAATACACATAGCTCATATGACAAATATTATGGTCCAAAAAGATCAAAACTACTTAATGACTCCAAATTATCATATGATAGGCCCAATATAGAAAAAGCAAGGAAAGCTGGGCATGGTGGCGCATGCCTTTAGTCCCAGCACTCGGGAGGCAGAGGCAGGCAGATCTCTGTGACGTCAAGGCCAGCCTGGTGTACATATTGAGTTCCAGGCCAACTGGGGCTACAAGGGTGACCCTATCTCAAAAAGACTGAAGGAAAAAAAAAAAGAAAGAAAAGAAAAGAAAAGAAGGAAGGAAGGGAGGGAGGGAGAGAGAGAGAGATAGAGAGAAAGAAAGAGGGAGGACAAAGAAATGTGAACTCTACCACTATTTATTCTGTGAGGCTGCTTGAAGTTCAAATGTGCTTGCTTCCAGGATAGAAAAACAGTGTGGGCCTGTTCCAAGGAAGATGGCATCTACAGAAGAGTAATGACAAATACCTCTGATTTACTGAGAATACTTTTATCTCAGGTAAATGTGAACTGCTTGGATCTTATTTTCTATTATTAAGGAAAAAAATAAAATAATAGTACCTCTGAAATTCCTGTCAATATCCCAATTCTAAATTTTTCCTTTTATTATCTCAGGTCAAATATTTATCTTCTCTGGTTCATTCATGACTTTCCCAGTTTAATAAATGACTACCACTATTTAGTACCTCTTTCTCTGTTATCATTTGAAACAACCATTTGGCTATTAGAATTTTATTTTTGAAGTTCTTTGTATAGAAGACTTTAAAAGATGAAGCAATTATTCATTGGATGCTTTCTATGTGCAAGGAGTGTTGCTACATTGTTTAATTAAAAGAAACTCTGAAAAGTGAACCCCGTTTCACAGAGGAGGAAAAGCTTCAGAGAAGTGAAGTTTAAAAATCAATTCATTATTTGCACTTTCAGACTGCGTGAAATAAAACTCCTTTGACGTGGCATCTTAAGTTTCTGATCCATGCCACTTTTCAGTCTGGTAATGGAAACCTTGGTGTTTGGGGTCCTGGTAGCACCCTGGGCATTCAGAAATCTAGGAGTCCACTGTGAGGCTCATAACAGGTACTTCGATCTATTCAGATTTATGTTGGTTGTCAATGTCACTGTTCCAAACTCTACCTGCGCTCCACAGTCTCTGTGACAGAAAAGTTCCTTCTTGTGAAACTTTTGCTTCTTTCCTTTGCTGGGGACCCAGGTACTTGACCAGATGGATTAGATGAAGAAGGGGAAATAAGTCCTGGAGGTAATTCGGGGAATCGAGGTCAGTAGTCATGTTCACCTCTATTTTGCAACTGAGACTCTAATATATTTTTAATTTAGTTTTTTAATGGATTCAATTCTGCACCTACCTTCTGAATCAAAAATGTCCCTTCCCAAGAAACAATTTCACTTTAGTTTCAGTTCCTCCTCCAAGGGGAAGTAACATTGATTTGTAAAATTATGAAATCTCAGGGCAACTAAATATGTTGTACTACTATGGAAGCTGACTACTACGAAGCTGACACAAACATGCTACTAGTTCTGGTTTTCAATCCAGTTACTTTGCTATTAGCTTAATTTCTTGTAATATTCCTAATCATTATTTTTCTATTAAGACCCAGACTGCCTTCTGAAAACAAAATAACTTTCCCTTTGAAAAACAGTGTATGTGTAAAAATTAAGACTAGAAAGAGCAAAGGAGACAAAGAAATGGTACTAGACAAGTAAATGAAAAAGTAAACCCTAAAAAAGGGACGTCTAAAAGCTGGGGGGGGGTAGAAGGGAGAGGATGAAGGGGAGGGGAAGGAGGGGGGAGAGGGAGGAGAGGGTGGGGGAGGAGGGGAGATAAAGAGGAGAGGAAGGAGGAGGAGGAATGAAGATGACTAAAAGTACATTTCTAAAATGTTTAAGAATCAAATGAAAGCATTACTGGTTAGAGCGAACAGAATAAGGTTTAGCAGTAAAAACATGTGGCTATCTTTCTGACTCTAGGAGTGAACCATCAAAACTGAGCCAAAAAGTTCCATTTCTGACCAAGAAGCAGAGGTTAAATTTCCTATCAGGTCTTGGAAAAAGACAAATGTGTGACTAGCAACAGCCTAGGACAACGATCCCAGAGAAGGGAAGCAAATGGGACAAGGCTTGTGATTGTACCAGCTTCTGCCTGGGAGGTTATTTTTAGACCACAGCTCCAGAAGGTGAGCCACAGGGGCCCAGAGTTCTTGCTGAATTAAGTCAAGGATTAGACTTTGGAGAAGCCCAACTTCTAGGATTTGTGAGATGGAGTTCCAACTAGGAAAAAAGAACCCCAAACTCAACCTCCAGAGATCAAAAGAGAGGTCTTTGGCTACATTCTGATTGGTGCACACAGGAGGAACCTCCCCATGGCCAAAGAAAATAGCACAAGCAAAAAGTAGCCTGACCTGAGAGATAGCATTCTCTGGGGCTGTGAGACCCACTTGCTCAACTGAGCTGGCATCATTCACACTGCTATCAGCAGGCCTCACCACTTGCTCCAGTCATCACGATTCAGATCAATGTCCAACAGGTACCAATAAGCGCCCGTTTTATCTCATAGGTTGTCTTCTGAATGGCTCAAGATGCTTATAAAGAGTAGATTTGGATCAGAAGTAGAAAGGGGTGGAGCTTCTGTGTACATACTTGGGCCCAGGTTGGGTAGGTATGCCTGGGTCTTGGAATCTGATGGAAAATAGCCTCACTTGGTGCTCAACTGGGCTCCTACATTAAGTTACTCCTTAGCTACAACTGTCATTGGTAGTTTTTCCACAGCAGAGAATTGTTTGCCCTTCTCTTGCCCTCCAGTTTTTGGCTCTTGCTGGAAGACCTTGGATTATCTCTAATCTCAGCTTGGCAATGCCCCATGGCAACCATCTAAATCCCTGAATCAAATGTCTCTCTCCAGTTCAGATTGTTTTCTGGAAAGAAAATTTCCTATCCCTAGACTTCCAAATCAGCACTTAAACATATCTAAAAGACAGCAAAACAAGGAATAAACAGAAATAAAATAATTATTACCACATCCTATCTATTTCATTCTTCAAATTGTTTTTGAGTTTCAAGAACACTATGGATATGGAAGATGAAAATCTGCATATAACCCATTTGTACAGTTCTGTTTCATCCATTCTGTCAAAATGCCTGGGCTGCCTTCATTCCTTCCTAATCCACGCTCCATGAACTGCTCTGTCATATCCCTTTGTCTTCGCGTCTGCACTTTCTAACTGCATTCCCTTCTGTTTCTGAAGGCCCGGTTCTCTCCTTCTGTCTCCTCAACTCTAAACTCAACTTGAAGCACTCACCAAACATGCTAATTGAAATGACCCTCCCAGTACACTGCCAGAAAGCATGAAACTGGGGCCCATGCTTCAAAGCCTGGTTCTGTCACAAACTGCCTATGTGAACTTCTGCAACTTAAGCTCTGTATCTCAGTTACCTTATCTGTGAAAGGAACACATTCCTAGCATGTGTTTCATAGAGTTGCTGTGGATTAGGGAGATAATGTCCTTAAAGCTCTTGGCACAGTGCCTGGCACATAGCAGGCTCTCACCAAATGTGAGCTATTATTAATAATGGTTAACTTTTATTTGGGGATTTTGCTCAGGGAACCAGCAAGGGAAAAAAGAATGAGAATTCTGGTAGTTAATTTTTTTTCTAGAAAGGAAAAAAATGGGTCAAAGACTCAAGGCTCATGAACTAAAGGGAAGTAAGCATGCCATCAAGTTACTAGGACATGGATGGCTTGGGAGCCAAAGGCTTGTTGGCCCTTTGTCAAAACTCAGGTGGTGGGGCTGGAGAGATGGCTCAGTGGTTGAGAACACTGTTCTTGTAGAAGACCTGGGTTCAAATCTCAGCACCCACATGGCAGCTAACAACTGTCTGTAACTCCAGTTCCAGGGGATCCAACAGACTCTTCTGTCTTCCTAGGGCACTGCACGACACGGGTGCACTTACCTACATGCAGGCAATACACAGATACACATAAAATAAAAATAATGAATACAATATTTTTTAAAAACTCAGGTGGCTGTTAGCACGTGGACTGGGTCCTCAATTCTAGTGCATTGATTCATGAATTTTGATTACTTTTGATAGAATGACCATTCTTATTTGGCCCATTTCCTCTCCCCTCCTCAGGAACATGCAGAGACAAAGCTTAGCACCTTTAAGTCTTCAAGCTCAGACTATAGCTTCATTTCTATGAGCAATGCTATGTTCAGAATCACTGTTGACCATAATTCAATAAAGCCTTTTAAGCCATATCATAATGCAGAAAACTTCAGAAGCAGAAAAAAAAACCTCATGCAACTTATTTTTTAATAGGTTGTGGAAACTGTGAGAAAGCTTGTTACGCTGAGGATGAAACAGACTTTACTCACCTGCAGGAGTCCACTTGGCTGATTAAGGTTTGTCCCTTTTGTAGAGCATCAGCTGTGCAGTCTTTAATTTCGCTGTGTAATTCCTCATGCCTCACTGCCAAGACAGGCAAACTTAAACCCTCTGATTTAAGGAGCTTAAGGTAAGCTTCAACTTTTCCAAGTACATCAAATGCCTGCCAAAGAAAACATACTTGCATTTTCTGCTTTTCTAGTTTAAAAATCTCCATCAATGTGTACATGAAGCACCAGCGATTAAACAAGGCCATTCAATTTACTAGTTTCATTATAACAACAAAAAAGTTTCTTACTCCTGGAACACAGCTGTATCATTTTCATTTAGGAAAACTTATAGCTTAGTTCAACAGTAATAAATGTCAACACCATAAAATTACCAAAATATCTTATATCGAGATACTACATGACACAGACAGTTACAACTGTGTGGAATTTGGATAGTCTCACTTTTATTTTGTGTGTTTTATACTGAATGCATATAAAAGATAAGCTATTAAAAATTAATAGACTTTCATGGCCTGAATATCTCTGTAATAAGTCTTAAAAGGAAATTTCTTAATGAATTACACTTTGAACCTGAAGCACTGAAGGGAAACATTCAAGAAATTACTAATTTGGTTTTCTCTCTTGCCTTTTAAAAATAATACTCTGGCCCACTCCAGCCCAGGCATCCATCTGGCCTACAGAGAAGATTATAATTCAGTTTTGAATCAGGACAAAGAGTAAGACCAAGGTAATAGTTTCCAATATACCAAATCGGATTATACAGGAAAAATAGCCCTTTCAAATTAAGGTATTGTCATAAAAGAAAAAATATTTTTAATGCCTTCATTTCCTTCCTTCATTGGCAGACTGACTGCCAAACACAGGACATGAAGTTTGCAAAATTAATGTGGAAAAGAAAGAAGAGGGCATCGAATCCCCTGGAACTGGAGTTACAAGCAGTTGTTAGCTGCCATGTGGGTGCTGGGAACCAAACCCAGGTCCTCTGCAAGAGCATCCAGTGCTCTTAATCACTGAGCCATCTCTCTAGCCCCCAAAGAAAATCTTATAAAGAAAGAAAATAAAAATATACAGAAATATGGGGGTGGAGAGATGGCTCCATGGTTAAAAGCACATGCTGTTTTAACAGAGGATCTGAGTTCAGTTATCAGCACCCATACCCAGTAGCTCACAACCACCTGTAACTCCAGGTTTAGCTGATCCAACACACTCTTCTGGCTTCAGTGGGCACTTGAATGCATGTGACATGCACACACACAGGTGTACACATATACACATAAAAATAAAAATCTCTTTTTTTGGTCTTTTTGAGACAGGGTCTACTTGTAGCCCCAGCTGGCCTGGGACTCACTATGTAGACCAGGCTGGCCTCAAACTCAGAGATCCACCTGTCTCGGCCTCCCAAGTGCTGGGATTAAAGGCATGTGCCACCACACCCAGGGCAATCTTTTTTTTTTTTTTTTAAGAGAGAATTCTTCTGTTCTTCAACACTCTTGGAGGAAATTGCCTTTCAGAGTGCTCCAAATAATTCTGGAGAACAGTTCTGTCACAAAAATATCACAGAACCATGTAGTGAAGCAGAAGCTTAAAGTCTGTCTTTTCTGATTGTTAAGTAGGAAGCCACTGAGCTTGGCAGCAACCCATCAGAATGTAGTAGGAATACCCCACAGAAGACCATGAGGGAGGATCCCAGATCATGAGAAATGAGAATAGATGGGCTAATGGAGACCTGAGGGAGGCAGGGGAGCAAGGCTGGGTGAACGTTCAGAGAAGACATTTGAAAGGCCTCAACAATACAGCCGAGGATGGATGGAAAACACACCCCTGTGTGTGGCTGCTGTCTTAGGGAAGCAGTTTGAATGGCAGAATTAGAAGTGGACAGAATTGGAATCTACAAGTGAAAGCTCTCAAATGCTCTTATTATATGTCAAGATTCTCTTTTCCCACTAATGTCCTCAGGTCTTTCAGGTCTGTTCTTTCCAACTTAAGAATGCTTGAAAACAGTTCTGATTATTTATTTGAAATAACACTAACAGCAGTCTGATGAGATCTGACTATGCACTTGCTGCCATACTGTGTGTCACATAATTGCTTCCCATTAAATAAACAAATATTACTGAATGCCTGCTGTGTTCCAAGCATATTATCCTCTCTTAACAGCCTCAGGAAGAACTAAGAAATTATACCTATTGTATGACCCATGAAACCAAATTTCAGAGGCATTAAATAAATTGTACAAAGTTACAATTCTAAGAGGCCAACCAGGATTTATACCCAATTTGTATAGCCCTTGGGCCCCTGCTCTTAAACCCAGGGTATAGCATCACATGTACAAGAATCACTACGTGAGGCTTAAGAAAGAAGAGTATTTAGAAAATGCTGTAATCTGGCCAGAAAAGTTGAGGTTTTAAAACTTAATCTTTCTACATAAATATCTGCTTCTCCTTATCGCAGGGAAAAGATGTAGAGGAAAGTAGAGAGGTTGTACAGAGAAAGATCAAGAAAAAAGTTTACATTCTGCTATGTTACTTTAAAGGAAAGTAAGCTTTTATTGTTTGTTTATTCAGTGTGTATGAGTGTTTGGCCTGCATATAAGTACACCTGTATGGTACAATGTCCATGGAGGCCAGAAGAAGGCATCGGATCCCGTAAACTGGAGTTACCAACTAGGCTGTTGTTAGCTGCCATGTGGGGACTGGGAACTGCACCCGGGTTCTCTGCAAGAGCAGTCAGCGCTCTCAACCACTGAGCCAACTCTCCAGGCCCAGAAAGCAAGCCTTAAAAAAAAAACAACTTTGATCCCAAAGAACTCTCTCATTTGACCCTGTTTTTCTTGCATCTGGCAACAGAGCAAAATACAACAAATGGTAGTGCGAGAAAATAAAATATTATGACTTTCTGAATCCTTCCATAGCTCACTGAAACATCACTGAGCAGTAACCACTGTTCTGCAGATATTGTTTTGTATTTTAAATTCTGGATGGCTTATTTTGAATAAAATGGTGTTTCTTGTTCATCCGGGGTAGTAATTAAAGTCAATGCCCAAAGCAAATATCTGTCATAGTTAAAATTACCTGAGAATCTCCTAAATCCCCCTTAAAGTTTAAGATATGTGAGATATTGAATGTTATATTGATGCTTCAGATCAACAAACCCCATACTACACTAAAGGAGATCAGAGAAAGTCTGCATGGAAATGTTGGGATGCTCGCTCCTATATTCTTTTAAAAGAAAGTCTCAAGATCCTGATATGAATGGAGAAAGGATGGAGACTACCCAGGTACTTAATCCTTGCTTACAAATTTAACTCATTTAATATTAAATCATTATAACCTTAATATAGTTTGTGCTTTTTGCTAATTTGAAAACTAAAGAAGAAAAATCTTGAAAGTAGGCATGATAACAGATGCACAAAGAAGTACTCAGAAATTGTTAGCTGCTATTCCACATCTTGGTTGATCAAACATATCTTTAAAAAGTCCCAGAGAAGGCTGGGCATGGTGGCGTACACCTTTAATCCCAGCACTTGGGAGGCAGGCAGATCTCTATGAGTTCAAGGCCAGCCTGGTCTACATAGTGAGTTCCAGAACAGCTGGGGCTACAGGGAGACCCTGTCTCAAAAAGACAAAAAGAAAAAGTCTCAGAGAAGGACAAAGCCACCCGCTGCCTGCCCTTTGTTCCAAGAAGCCTTTTCTCTGTGGCCGAAGTGAGCAGCTGCCACTCTGCTACCTCAGCCTGGGTCTCCTCTTCATAGGAGTTAGAAGCTGAAGCCATAAGGCCATTAAACACATGTGTGATATCACTGTACCCTGCTCATAATGCTATAATAAAGGCATTATTTCCTAATAGAATAAAATAGCTTGCAGGACCAAACATTCACTAGAAGGCAAAGATAGCTCATTAACTTGGAATCAGACTAACCAAATTTTCTTCCAGAGATTTTTCTCAAATAGACAAATGTTAGGGAAACAGTTAATTACAAATTTCTCTGTATAATAAAGCAATTTAATAAAACTATGGCAATATAAAGGAGATGACTGTTTTCCTTCTTTCATTAGTCCAATAAATACATTTATGGAATTCCTGTGGGTGGGGTGAGCAGAAGGCCAAAAAGGACTTATTTCCTAATTCTAAACCTAAATTAGAATAATTCTATAGACACAAAAATAAGAGTTAAACCTTTAGACTTTAAGAAGATGCTTACTTCTAGATTACATTGTCTGTGACTTTCTGAATTATGTGCAAAACTCTTCCTGTCTTATTCCGTGTAAAATTTGATGAGGAATCCATGTAGCATCATTGCTCTCATTTCATCTATCCCCCAAATAGAACAGAGTGCTTTTCTATTTGTCGCATCCATAAGGAAGATGACGTACTGATCTCTCTGTTGCACATAAGGTACAGAACAGGGTATTCCTGACAACAAGAACACCATGCGCCTCACACAAACTCCCTTGGAACCAACACTCCCCCCTACCTCACTAAGGCTTTTCTTTTCATAGCCCCTGAATCTTTAAACCTTCTATGTCCAAGTCAAATAAAGCTTTTATGATTGGACTCAAAGGATTTAAGTACAAGGGCAATATTTTCTCCTGCTGGGTCCTAGATTGTCTGGACCATGTCATACCATACTCTGTCCTTACACACACAAGGAGGAGGCAGGATCAGCCCATTTGGACCCAAATTTGGAAAGGATTAAGGAGCTGCTTGGCTTTTGTTCTTTAAAGGGCCTTTCCTTTTCCCCCTGTTAAGTGCAAGATCCAAGGCACACAGCACCAAATCAAACAGAGATGGTATCAAGGCAAGGTATGCTTTATTCTTTTCATATATCTACAAGACTAATAATTTAAGCAAGAACCATGAGTCATCCAGCATAATTCTCATATCATACTGTTTCACAAAGATACTTAATAAGAAACAACACTAAATTCTTCACTAATTTGGAAAGAGTCAATATTAAATACAAACAAAACAGAACTTGAAAATAAGCAAGAACACAAAAACTCTTTTGAGCTTCTAGAATACTTGGTTCCACCACCTTTGGAGAGTCAGATTTCCTGACTCTTACTGCTTCTATAAAGAAACAAATCTTCACTTGCATTCTTAAACATCACCTGAAACAACTTCTGATGGCTGAGGCTGGCAAACTGATTCC